CAATTAATATTATACTGTAATACTTCCTTTGTGATATTAACTATTATTAAGTATTTTCCATTATGTTAGATATCATATTTTATTTAAATATTCCCTGGGCTTCATTTAGGTAGTCATTTCTATTTTAAATAATGCCAACCATTTACTGAACTTTAGTCTAAAGTTATGATCATCTATGGGGATAAAGGAATAAGAGTATAGTTTGGGTCAAAAAGTTTCAGCATTTTTAAGATTCTTGATAGATATTCCACGATTGTTTTCTAGAAAGTTAGTAGTAATTTGTAGATGACCCATAATACTAGCAAATAATCATATCATGTATCATGTGTATTCTAAAAGCCCAGAGTGTTTTAAAATATTTCCTTTGATCATATCTTCAATGATTAACCAATAGTCTAAGGAAGCTTTGTATATAGGTGGGGAAATTTGTTTACAATTTTTCTGACATTGTCAAGGAACAAAAAATCAGGAATAGAATCACTTGATCTCTTTCAAATATTTCCCTCTTTCCTTCCTTCCTCTTCTTCCCTTTCCATTTCCCTTCCTCCCTCCCTCTCTCCCTTCCTTCCCTCCCTTTTTTCTTGTGGTGCTGAGGAATAAACCCAGGGCCTGTGGATGCTAGGCAAGTGCTCTACCACTGAGCTACACACCCAGCACCCAAATATTTTCAGTTGGAATTTTATAAATAGCTTTTGATTTAATTAAGTCATTTTCCAGAATGGATACTATGTTTTCATTTTTGCCACTTCATCTTTAATTAAGTTTTATGCATGCTGTGGGATAAGCCAGTAAGAAGACTTGATCCTCCATATCATATTTCAATTCTAAGACATATTAACATTTAAACATCATTGAAATTGGGTGCGTATTATACACTTCTAGCACTGAGATCTCCCTACCACTCTCCAGCATGCTGGCTCCCTGAACTTTCACTCTCAGGCTGCAGGAACATGCTTTTACCAGAGAATTTCTCTCTCCCTCCCTCTCATGCTTAACCATGACTGATGGTGCAGGGGTATAAATACTCCAGCTCTTTGATTTCGGACTTTGTGGGGTCTGCATTGTCTTCAGGACTCCCCTGTGAACTTAGCCAAAAGTACCTTTCTGCAGTGGACTTTGCCTGGCATCATATTTGTGTGTGTGTGTGTGTGTGTGTGTGTGTGTGTGTGTTTTCCTCTCCCTTCCCTTTGGTTGGTCCTATTTTTCTAGTTCCTTATTATTTTTCCCCCTTGGGCCACTTCCTGATTTATACCAATTCTCATCTCAGGGGAACCTGACATATTACAGGATGTGTCTCATAATGAATGAGGTCTTGCGGTTACTGTTGGCCAGGCAGCCGTAATGATACAGTTGTCTCTCTGTGCAGGCTTGAATTTGGCTGTTCTTTCTGTGGTGTGACTAGACTGTTATACCTTTACTTTTCTGTTAATAAATCATTTAAAGATCTATTTAAGGAAGGAATGTGAATCCTGATTGCTATCTAAGAATTTTCTACTGAATTCTTTTGAAAAGATAAAGAAAGTGACAACTTTGAATTATAGAATGAACGTCAAAGACTGGGTTGGGGTTGGGGGACTCCCGGACATAGAGATGCAATCCTTCAAGAAAGGCTTCATCTTGGCAGCAGAAGGAAAATGTGGACAACAGCTCTGACTTGAAAGAGGTTCAGAAGAGGTCCATTCTGAATGTAGAGTTTTAGGAATATCATGATTTATTTGTGTTTCATTTTTCCTATATCTATGTTTATATCTATACCTATACAAACACACATGATAAAATATGATTTTTTAGATTTACTTAAAGGATTATAAGATAAAAATTCTAAGTACTAAGTCATATTTTAAATGCCATTTTTCATTGTTAGTGATATATAAAATCACAATAAATGTTATGATTTATGAATTACTAATCAGGAATATGGTACACAAAGAGACAGAAGAAATACAACCAATGAATAATCTTAGCAATATTGGAAAAACTAAGGTAATTTATAGATGGCTCACTTTCTCTGATTTTAGTAGGAGTTCCATTGGTGAGTGAGCTTAACACTAGAGTTTTTGGTCATGTTCTTGAAATTCTGCAAACTTTAGTATGTTAATTATATATATGTATATCTATGTATATATATAATACACATAAATACATATACAAATATACACCACATACAGAAATATGCACACATACATAAAATACATATAAAGTGCTTATAATACACATAAATACATATACAAATATACACCACATACAGAAATATGCACACATACATAAATACTTACAAAGTGCTTAGGTATGCATTGTTTCCTTTAGATTTTCCTTACATTGAGTACTTTTACCATTCAGGGAAATAACGCATGCATTTAATTTGCTGCCAGTTTTCATTTATGTGTGTTGATCAACAAACAAAAATAAAGCTGGCATTAGATTAGATGCATTAGAATTCCTTCTCTGAAAAACTGTTCAGTACACAGAAAGAGGATCTGCCCATAAATATCTTTTCATATTCATTCCAGAAAGATTCCTGACCTGAACTGTCCATTCTAAGACAACTTTATTATCTACTTACTTTGTTTTCTCTTCCCATATCTGTTGATAAAAGATGAATTTTTCTCCATTGTAAAACAGAATAGTCAAGCAATTCCAGTGGGGTTAGTTATATATGGGATAAATTCTGCACTTTCAGAGTACTGTGGCAATACATAGCTCCCTTGTGCCAAATCAGTTCTTTAGCAGCGTGATTAATTAACCCATGAGGACAGAAGTTTGAGTGCTATTGCCTTGAAATGCACTTACCCAGTATTCTGGTTTTAGGCTTCATCTACCCTCCCACACCAAAATCATTCTACCGTGTTTCTTAAAAACCTTGGGCAAATCAACAATGCTTGAGTATGTGCTTTACAATCCTTTCACTGCAATCATACTGTGAGCTTTATGACCACATTTATGCAGCATACACTTTTCTCTTCAGTAAAATCCATTATATTGTTCCAGCCTCGAAAGAACTAGTTAGTATGGATATGCTTAGTTAAACTCCCAACTCATTTTCTTTTTCGCTCAATTTGCAGGAAACAGTTAAAAGAGTTTTTGAAAACGACAAATCACAATTTTAATTTATTCTGAACACATTTATTGCATTTTACCATGCCATCTTTGGTGTGAGGGGTAAAAAATAACATATGATCTCTGACTTAAAGATCCAAAGTCTAATGGCAGAGACATATATACTACTTTTCTATCAAATTAATGGCAAATGGAGTGTGATAGAAACTTTATTAACAGGTATGCAGTAATAGGGGGTTGAGGTAGGAGTTTAGAGCATGGCTCTCCCAGTTTATCTTCTTAACTTCCAGGGTYTTAGATAAAAATACCTCAAAGCAACAACAGAAAAGAAACAACTGACTATCTGGGCCAGTTTTCTATCTTTCCACTTTCCTCCCATCACCACCTGTGTTACTTACCTGGTTGCTAATGTTAAGTGGAACAGCCAGAGGGAGAAGAACTAGTTGGCTTCAACCAGAGTTCCAATTTTCATTATCGTGTTGGTAAAGAAAGCACAAAGGAGAATGTAGGGCCAGAAATCATGTCACAAGTCTTAGTAACGTATCTCATCAGATAATGTGAAGTAGTTAATAAATGGAGTGACCCAATGAGATCTGGACACATAGGTCAGTAGCTCTCTTGGGGTGGCGGTTCTTGCTATACCACCCAGAGTGAGAAACGGGGCTGGACAGGTATGCACAAATGCATGCACAGCATCTGCAGAATACCAAGGTAGCATGTGTCAAGTTCTCCACAGAAGAGGTAAAACATGAATAGAGTCTTTGTGGATGATAAGGAATCCGATGAGGGAATGAAGAGGAGGCACTTCCCAGATGGAATCTCTGAGCGACTCCTGGGATGAGAATGGAGGCTGGAGAGAAAGTGCAGGGCTAAGGGAGCAGAGGAGCTAGGGATCTCACGAATAGGAGCAAGGAACAGAGTAATGGAATCACATTAGTGTTTTAGAAAGGTAATTCTGACAGAAGTGTCGTAGAGATTGATGGGGGGCAGGTGTGGCCCAGAACGAGAGAGAGGCATATTGCCTATGTTTAATCATCCGGGTAAAAAATGAGAAAGACCTGAAACACAAGAAGAAAATGTTTTCATGGAACAGAGAAGAGGTAATAAATATATTTCAGAAATGTTCTAGAAAATAGTACCTGCCTTGGGTTTTTATCCCAAACTTACCAGTCAGGTAAACTGCTGCCCATAGAAGAGACAGAAAGAGGCCCAAAGTGTCACTCTACTGGAGGTCCCTCTATGAGGAAGGAAATGTTAGGAATTGGGAATAATGATCCCGACCAACAGGAAACTCAATCAGCATACGGTTCTTTCCTTTCTTTGGGATCACTGATTTCTGTGGGACTAGCTTAGTCTGTTTGGGCTACTATAACTAAATATCTTACATTGGGTAATTTGTAAACTAAAGAAATTTATTGTTGACAGTTCTGGAGGATGACAAGTTCAAGATCAGGGCACCAGCACATTCAGTGTCTGATGCTTCAAAAATGATACCTTCTTGTTGTGCCCTTGCAAGACAGAAGAGGCAAATGGTTTCCCTCAAGCCTCTTTCAAAAAGGCCACAACCCCATTCATGAAGGTGAAGTCCTTAGTCCCAATTACTTCTGAAAGGCCCTACCTCTTCATACCATAACTTTGACGGTTAAATTAACACATGAATTTTGAAGGGACATAAACATTCAAAACAGAGCAAGGGCTTATCTAGTGTCAAGGGACTAGGGCTTGGATGTCTGATGTAATTGTCTCATCTGGTTTTCACTGAGAGGCCCTGCGGATTAAATGGAAAAAAAAAATCCTCATTCAGATCTAGGGCATCTTCCTGCTCCTCCTGTGATCCTTTGGGTTCATGGAAGTCAATCTACTCCTGGAGGAAACTCACTGAAGTTGTCTAAGTCTGATTGTGTGTACACATACCATGCAATCATTTCCAAGTGGACCATGAGCTTTCTTCCAATGGCTTTCTTCTGCTCTCAAAACTAATTTGGAGCCAGGTGCGGTGGTGGAGGCCTGTAATCCCAGCGGCTCGGGAGGCTGAGACAGGAGGATGGCAAGTTCATAACCAGCCTCAGCAAAATCRAGGCACTAAGCAATTCAATGAGACCCTGTCTCTAAATAAAATACAAAATAGGGCTGGGGAATGTGGCTCAGTGGTTGAGTGCCCCTGAATTCAGTCCCCTGTACCAAAACAAAACAAAACCTAATTGGGGCTTTGCTGCTTCCAGAAACTTTGCCCAGAAGATGGGGCCCAGGACCCTTTTTCTGGGCTCCAACAATATTGTTCTTTCTCTTATTTCCAGAGCCAGGGGAATTATTTCCCAGACAGAAGTAGGAAAGGCTGGCTTCCTCATCATAGGGCTTTCAAATCTTTGATCTATACCACAAATCCTTCCCTAAGACATCTCAGAACTCCCTAAGGATTTTTAGAACTCAGAAGAAGCTGCTTTTCTCTGTTTTCTGTCATCACACCCTTTCTTGAGGCAGGGAATATTACATGGGCCTAGTAGTTCAGATACAAAATAATGACATGGAAGAAAGAAAATAGATGGAAAAGCTTTGATTAATTTCAGTTGTATGTCCTTTGCATAGAATGTAAATTATATGAGGGTTACAATCTCCCCCTGTCTTGCATTGTATCCCTAGTACTTAACAAAATGTCTGGCTTTTAAAAGTGTTTTAGGTGAATAAATGAATACGAAAGGATGAGAGCTAAGCTGGAAAATCAGTCTTAGGTATGGACAGCACATTACATATTCCACTTGGCAAACACTCCTTGAACACCTAGTATGATAGGCACTGTGCTAGATCCTGAAGACACAGTGTTGAACAAAATAAAAATTCCTGTTCTTCTGGGGCTTACCTCCATTATAAGTTCTATTATAGAGGAAGGCAATGAACAAAATAAGATCATGACAAACGGACAAATAACGTGAAAGGAATAATACACAGGATGAAGTGATAGAGAATACTCGGTGACTGGGGAGTGAGAACAGGGGTGGTGACATGGGCTGATCTACTGATATGACAGCACAAACCATGCCCAAGAGTAAGAATCAAACTTAAAAAATGAACAGAAATACTATTAGTTTAAATATAAAAAAAATCCTATGAAGAAAGCAAATTCAGAATAGTATTTAATATTTGTAAGATCACCAATGTGAACACAGTGATATCACGTGAGAATATCTGTGGTTAAAACACCTTGGGTGTTTCATTTCTAAAGTTAAATTCCACTGGCATATTCTGTTTCAAGTTCTTTTCATCTTCTTAAAAGTTATACGTGGAAGTTGTTTTAATGTTGGTTCAGTTCCTTCTGTATATATATCATAAAAATGTCAAGTTGACMCTTCAAAAAGTTGGTTTCAGCTGGGCACAGTAGCACACTTCTGTAATCCTAGTGACTTGGGAGGCTGAGGCAGGAGGATCACAAGTTCAAAGCCAGCCTCAGCAAAAGTGAGACGCTAAACAACTCAGTAAGACCCTGTCTCTAAATAAAATACAAAATAGGGCTGGGGATGTGGCTCAGTGGTACAGCACCTCTGAGTTCAATCCCCAGTATCCGCCCCCCCCCCAAAAAAAAACAAAGGAAAAAAGAAAATTGATTTTGCTTAGCAGAGAAAATAAAAATGTTCCATTTCTCCCTAGAAAAAGGATAATATTTTCTAATTGTGCAAACACTAGGAGAGTGTCATTTGACTCCATATTTTGACAGCTGCTTTGCATTTATTATTRGAGAGGCTTTTCATACAGCATGCTCCTATTTTTTTCTAGTAAAGGGATATTAACATTATCTTGAAATTTAAGGAGTTCTTGATAAATAGACCCCTCACTTCTTAACTCCTTAAGGGGAAAAATAAAAGCCTTTTGAGAAAAAAGAAAGAAGAATAATTTTAGACTTTGAGCTCCTTGATTTGGGCATCAGTAGCATCCATCATGGTAATATAAAAATGTGGCATTTTGGGACAGTCCCTGTTGTGCGTCCCATCATTCTGCAGAATAAGTCCCAATAAGTCGCTTTCAGATAGTTAAACAAACATGCAAACAAGAAACTACTTCACATTTTGTCTGGCATTTAGTAGGTGCAGGAATTGTTTGCTGAGTTGAATTGTCTTGGGCTGAGCAAGTGCAACTCCATTTTACAATGGGAAAGTGAGGTCCGTAGAACTTGTAGGTGCATCTGAATCGTGCTTTGTACTCTACCAACAGCTTCCATCCAAATTAGGTTATTTAAGAGTTAGTCCCCACCACAATTAGATGTAAAGTAGAAAAAGATGAGAGAAACATTTGAAATACACTGAATTAGTCACTTGCTAGATTCTCCTATAGAGTGAGTCAGTTTCTGTTACTATGGGAAATCTAAAACCTAATGATTAAAAGATTCAGGCTCTTGGATAATGATGGAAAGATTATTCTTTAAAGAACCCCCCCCYYMAAAAAAAAGCTATTATTAATATATTTTTTTTCTTGGTGTGGTGCTGGGACTCAAACCCAGGGCCTCACGCATGTTAGGCAGACACTCTACCACTAGCTACATTCCCAGCCCTATTATAATCTTTGAACTAAAAAAAAAAAAAAAAAAAAAAAAAAAATCCTGTCATATAGAGAAAAAAATCTCGTATATACTATTGGTGTTAGTTTAAATTGATTCAATTTTATGAAGAACTTATGACTATCTACCAAAATTAAAATGAACATATTTTAGACTTAGCTCCGACCATTCTGTAGTGATTTACTTTCATGAGTATATTCAAACTGTGGACATATTGGCACTGCAGTATAGGGACATATAAGGAAAAAGATTTAATGAATATATGATATTAACTGGAACATGGTTARTTGTAGATGAGAACTTAAAACAGCTTAAGTGTTCACTGGTAGATTGCTGACTACACAAATTATGGGCTACCTGGGTAATGACCGTTTATGCACACCTTTGAAATATAATATTGATCTATGCATGGACGTGACAAGATGATCACAATATGCTAAGTCAAAAGCTGCTTAGCAGAAGGCTCAAGGTGGAGTGAAACTATTTACCCATGCACTGGTGATGAAACCTCTGGAAATGAGGTGGGCTATTTATGTAATTTATTCATTTCTACAGTATGCATTTTTTAAAAAATTAAAATAGATTTTTTGAACTTTAAAAATTAAAAAGGAATTTTATATCTGGATACCTAAGAAATCTGTTGTTTTGATGAATAGTAAGCCAAACCCAGGAAATGGTTAACTGTTGCCTACTTTGCTACAGTGCCTTGAGTGCTCACTGCATTTTGGTGTTCAGTAAATATTTTGAGGGAATATGTGAGCAAGGACAGTTAACCCTGGTCACTCTGGGACAGGGATATGTAGGGACATTAGTATTCATAACTTCTAATGCTATATTTAGTCAGTGAGTCATTGGAGAAGAGTTTAAAAACACAATGATAGGGTTAATTTATCCCTACAAATCATAGACCCACATAAAATAGTTTGGGGATCCCATTTGCATTGGAAAATAATTCTTTCTTGTGGGGAGTCTTTGGGGTGGAACCCAGAACCTCCTTCATGCTGGGCAAACACTGCTGCTGAGCTGCATCCCTGCCCTTGGAAGAGGAATCTTACTGAGYCCTCATCATAAGATTTTTTTGAGTACACTTACCTATCGGATCAGAAGTCACAGAAATACAAAGAGGAGGAAATGTTAGAGATGGCTCAACAGGTTCAGCTAATTCAGCAACACCCAATAAGGAGCTCACTTGGACTGAAACCTGGGATGGTGCTTCCATTCTCTCCTATCAGCAAGTTCTCTAACTACCAGCAAGTTTTTTATGGCACTGAATTGGAATCTGCTATTTTACAAGACTGACCAAGTCTAAGGAGCTCTCCTCACTGGTTTAAAGAATGGGCCCTGGTGTTAGAGACTTGCTCTGAACTCCAGTTTCTACATGTAGGTGCTGTGTGACCCTTGGGCAAAGACAACACCTTTCTCCAAACCTAAGCAGTTTCTTTTCAAAATGGGGATAGTTATGATTTATGCCTTACAGAGCATTTTTCAGAAGATAGTGAAATACATGCAAATTGTTCTTTGCAATGTACAGTGTAAAACGCTCAATAATACCATTACGATTTTGATAGGCTTTTTCTATTGGGTATTTGATAGAAACAGAGAAGATAGTGGCAAAAGCAGTAGTGAAGAGATGAGGTGTCAGTGGATTGTGTGACTGAGACCCTTGGTCTTGGCGACCCAGGCATCTCCTGTTTTCCTCACTAAAATCAAGGTTGGGGAGGGAATTTCATACAATTAATTTGAAAACAAAAAAGCCTTCATTTTTACAATTAGAGATACTAAATTATGAAAGTAACTACCAAGTGTATGAGAATCCACTGGCCTAGGGAGGGGGACACACAAAGAAAAACCTTCTTCTTCAGCTTCTCACAAAACTGTCCTCTCTGAAGCTTCCTTATACCCAAACAGCTGTCAGGGAAGCACCAGTCTTCTCCATCACTCTACCACCTTTATGATGGGTGATGACTGCCTCTAGGGCTGGATCTGACTTGACACCATTCCTGAAGACATAAACCATAAATCTTCAACGTACTGGGAAGGYGTGGGTGAGCAATGTCTATATGTACTCGCCATCTGTATCTTACCAACCAGATGAAATGCAGCAGACTAGGAGACTTAGGATCGGGTCTAGCTAGCCTTGACCTAGCCATGAACTCACTGTATGAACTCTTAGCATCTCAGTTTACTCATCTACAAAGTGGTTACAAGTGATAGTTCTTACACGGTGTTCTCAGGAGCTCTAGGTCTGTGTGGTAGCAGTGGGTTCCTGGCCTCTATCTTGTTCCAAGCAGAACAGTAATATCTCATCACCTGCCCCCAAATGATCCCTCTGGCAAGGGCACCTTAAGTGCAGAGTAAGTCACTGATATGAGCCCCACCAATTACTTAAGAAAAATTTGAGCTGCTAAAAGAAGCCTATTGAAACAACATCACAAAGCGGTACCCTTACCTGGTGAGTGAGTGGGTGGAAGGAGGAAGGGTTTACAGAGGGAGAAGCATGTTTGACCGAGAGGTGCCTTCTGAGTCTCTGGAATGCACAGCTGCAGAGCCAGCTGCATCAACAGAACTACGGTGCAGTGCCCTGCGTGTTGGGCCATGACCTCCCTCTGCAGGGACCGTAGGGTATAGGGTGGGGTGAGGGGAAGACCGAATATGCACTTAGGTGTGAGTTTCAGTCCTGGGACAGGGAGTTTCATTTCTCTGAACCACTATTTCCCTMAGCAATTTCTTTTCAAAATGGGGATAAAAATATTAGATCAGCCTAATAAGCATATCATGTGGTTTAAATACAATGAGTTTGGGCTGCGTATGTAACTCAGTGATAGAGTACTTGCCTAGCATATGCAAAACCTTGGGTTTAACAACCAGTAATGGTGGAGATGGGGGTGAGGATGGGGGGGTAGAGAAGAGACAAAGTCTGAAAGGCATTTTGTAAATTAAAAAGTCCCATAAAGATGTAAGTTGTATTTGGTAGCCCAGGAGATAGATGTTTAAATATGAGCCTTTAAAAATCCCCAAAAGCTTGCTAAATCTCTTTCTAAGACATGAACATGAAAAAAAAAGATCGGTGAATTATCAAATAAATGAAGTATTTTACTCTGTTCACATAAATTTTAAATAGATCTTAATTATAAAGACCATTGGATATGATGCCAAATAATGAACTACATATAAAATTATAAAGATGTAAATATATAAGACAAAAGTATACATATAAAATTTAATTATATATCATTTCAAAAGATATAACTGAATCATTTTTAAGGAACTACTGAGTAGCAACTTTTAAATGTATACAGTATATTAAAACATTTTTACAAAAATACCCTAAGTCTAGTCTCCATTTCCTGCTCCATCAAGTAGTGCCTGCTTTGCTCCTATTTCAGATGGCTGTGTCTCAGAGTTGGGTGTCACAGGTCTCTGCTCAAGTCACGCTCACAGACTGAGATGCCGGAAGGCTGTGGAGCTCCGCTTCCTACAGAAAACCATCAACTCTTCTGGTCGGTGAGTTCTCTAGAGCAATCCTCTTCATTCTCCTCTGAGCAAGACAGGTTCAGGATACTCCTCACGGGGTGAATCCAGGATGTAGTCTGTGTTACGTGACTTAGAAGAACAAGGAATACAAATTAGGATCTGAACAACTGGTCTTTCTACCCAGCCACACAAGTACTGATCTTGGTTCCACTGCAGCCACCCTTCTGCAGTCCTTGGTGATAGAAAGCAGTTAGAACTGAACCCAACGGGTATGAATAAATCTTAGGCATGTTTTAAGGTTTGAAGAAAATCCATCTCCTTCTTTCCTCACTGGTAACAAGGAATGCAGGTTAATGCATCATCTTTGATTTCTCTGTTTTCCTTACTGGATAATATCAGTTAGCAAGTCCTATGATTGTCTAGCTGTAATATCTCAGCAATCTGTTCCCCCTCTCCTTTCCCAATGCAGTAGCCTGGGTCACTAAAATAGTTTATCTCCCTGCCTCTGTTCTAATTCTTTTCTAATTCATCGCCTACTCCAGCACAGAGATCTACTAAATGACAAATCCAATTAATGGCTTCTGGAACAAATACACATTCTATAGTATGAAACATCTTGTTTTTTATACTCCGCAATAACATTTCCTTCTCTGCCACAATCCTCTTCCCTAAGGAGTTAACTTATCCTCATTCTAAAGAACCAAATCTCTCTTAAGATTCCTCCAATCTGTGCACAGTCTTGTCTCTTATTATACTGTATTTTTAATGCCTATTTATTTGTAGGCTTTTTTACAACATTTGAAGCTCTTTGAGGGCAGGAACTATTTTTTATCTTGGAATTTATGGTGCCTGGCATATTCTCAGAACAAAGGATTAGCATCCTGAGAGACAAATTTAGGAAAAGAACACAAATTTGAGGAAGGAGGTACAAAAGATAGTGGGCATGTGCAAGGAGTAGTAAAACATCACACAACCTTGGTCCTACTTGCTGGATGGGATGGTGTTTCTCAGGACTCATCTCTTACTCTAAGCCTTCAGCTAATGAATCTCCTAAATCCACTGTTTGCCTGCCTCCTAAGAGTTTGACAGACAGCTTCTGGATTTAGGATGGAAATTTGTTTCTTCTTTTTGGGAACTGTCTCTAGCTCTGATTTGCCACACTGCCTGCATCCACCCTAGATCAGTTTCCCCAGCCTATCCTCCCACACCAAACTCAGAAGCAGCATCACGTCTTAGATTAAGTGTGCCTGAAGGCCAGTGCCCATGAAGATCTAATAGACTGTGGATCCGAATGTATAGCCTAGGTTATACAACAACATTTTCCAAAGTATGTTCCAAGAGTTTTTAATAAATGCTGTATGAAGAAAGACTTATATGATGTCAAATCCTACAGGGTTAAATGTAGGCAAATGGGGTTCTTAAGTATAGGACTTCCCAGCACCTTTAATATGCTAATGTGTCCCATGAATCTTTGAATATGCAACATTACTTAAACTAGCATGCTCCTGCTACTTACACATAGGGCTAGTGTTCAGGAAGTATCACAAAAATGAACCCATTTTATTGCCTATTGATGTCAGTTACTGAAAATATGGGACTGATACAAATGGTCAGATCGGCTGTCATTTCTGACTTGGTTTGTCTTCAATCCTATCCTCTAACTTTTGTTTGAATCACTCTGAACAAATTATTCAGCTTCTCTGCTTAAATATTATAGATGTAGCTTTCTGTGAAAGAAGATTGCTGATAATCTCACAATGGGGTTAAAGGAGCTTATGCCATTTAAGAACCAAGGTGAATGTGACAAGTCCCAGACATCTTCATAGTTTCAAAACCTTGAAGCATGGTTAAGTGGTACGAAGAATCATTATTCTCTTCACAATAATCCATATTACTATTCACTCTTTAAAGTGGTTTAAAGGAATTTTTCTTGATGATGGCTAAATTTACAAAAGCATCTGATTTGKTACAGGTTAATTTCATTTCAAGGCCTTTATAAAGCTGGGAAGCTGCCTAAATTGAAAGTGGTTTTAAAGAAATACTAACGAGAGCAGCATAAGAAGGGTGGAATGGCACTGCAAGGTGAAACGAGGACACAGCATCCTGTCAAAAGTGTGTGTTTGAAGCGAAGAAGCTAGAGGAGAATGCTCTGCTTATTTCACAGTCTCAGTATCCATGAGTGTCATGTTTATCAGCACACTTAAAATATGTTGGTCCAAGGCAGAGACTGCAATTTAAGTTATCTTTAAAATTTCCCTCCCCTATAATGTTCCCTAATTGGGGAGGATGGGAAGAAAGGAAACCAGGAGCAACCACCTGAAGGAAAAGTTTAGGTTCATGTTTTGCAATTTGACTTTTTCAAACAATATTCTTAAGCTTGAAATATTATAACTGCACAAATACAGAGTCCATTAGATTGGTGATTAAAATAATCAAAAGTAAGATGTTTAAAAAAAACTGAAGTGATTTTTTTTAATCAGCAAATCAACATCTGATCTTGCTCCAAATAGAAAGGTAATTCCATGAAATTCAAATTTTATCAGTCTTACATTCACAGCATACTTTTCTGGACTTGCTTAAAAACACACACGCACACACCTAAGTGTCAAACATGTAGCTACTACAGTGACTCACTAGGAAACAATAACACTGAAACAACAGGGTGATGTTTTCTGTGCTTTGAGAACTTATTTCACAACAGAATCTTTGGTAAAAGCATCCAGAACCAAGGGGTCAGAGTTTCTGAAACTCAGGTAATGCATGTGAAGGTCCTGGCAAAGAGCACATATTCAATGAATGATCACAGTCTATTGATAATTAGGGCTTTCTGATTATTGTAAGAAAAACTTGGAATTTTGCCTATGATGCTGGAATGGGGCCAGTTTTGAGTATACCATTCAATTTTAGGTCTTTGTGAGCACTGTGGCTAAAGAGCTTTGACATAATCGGTGTGATGAGATAATCCCAGATTTACTGGCTTTGAGAACATTCTAGTATTAGAAATATTTCCTCTCTGATTTGTGCACTTGGTAACTCAGCTGAAAAGAGAGAATAAACCAGTCCTGTTGATTCTGTTTAATTAATAAAGACCCCATGGTGAATAAAGGGAGATGCTGCTATTTAGAATAAAAAATTTAGAGGTCCAGAAAATAAATGAAGCTGACTATAAAACATGAAAACCATCCATTTGAACATACAGTACCTCTGGCAAATGCTCCTGCAGAGACAGTGCATCTGACCTGATTTGGAGAGCAATCAACAGCAGTTCAGACATATTTGAAAATCCGAAAAGCATATTATTCCCTGCCTTTGAATAGTTGCCAAATCTGTTGTTGGAAAACAATAATATTCGATCCGGGAAAATGATGGTATTGTGTGTTTTTTAAAAAATAATATTAGTAAATTGAAGGACATATTTTAGAGCTTATAAAAAACCTAAAAGAACATGCTTTATTTCATTGGCAAAGAAATGTAAGCGAATTATTTAAATCCCATTATAATTACCCTCCTTATGTTTCTTACCTCGTAGCTAGAGGAGCAAAATGCTTTCTTTCAAAAAAGAAAGCAAATGCTTTCTTTCAAAATAAAAATTTAGGACAGCCTGCTAAGCAAAAAGTGGGCTTAAAGACAAAAAGTGTACCAGTTTTGTAGAAATTCATTCTTATAACTGTCTGTGATGATGAAAGGAGAGGTTCTTCTGTAACTTTCCAATGTAGATGGCCCTATTTATAAATCATTGAGTTTAATAAGAYTTGCCAATATTATTTTATCATGCCTAAGATCAAGCTGCAGGATCAGAGCCAAAAGTAATTAACTTCCAATGTCATTTTTTAGGGGGATAACTTTATGGGTATAATATTCATAGGAACCAGACAACAAAGTAAATACATGTTCATATGATTTGTTTCAGGCAATAGTCACTTCGAATCATTGGAAAAATTTATTCCTGGCCACAGGTTCCAAGTAGTGAAGTATATAAAAGAACTATACTTACAACAGAATTTCCATTTTTTAAATTAACAAATTAGAGCACAAGAATATAAGGTGAACCACGTCAATAAAAGCACTAAAACCTCACCAAACCATAGTAAGGTATCATATAATCTGGCCACAGGCATTGGTTATGAGAATAACCACAGATCAGCAATATGAGGAATCCATCCCAAAATATGAAAGGGAAGATTATAGGCATTTTGTCCCCACTAATACAAGAATTCTCCCTTACATAATTTTAGAACTGTACCTCTAAAATGAATATTTTTCATTAATGAACTTTGTAAATATCACAGAACACTTTGAGCACTTTGTACTGAGTGATCTGGAAAGTCAGTAGGGCTCTGATCAAATGTTAGCAGGATCTCATTCAAATCTTTATAGGACAAATTTTATTTTTATTATATATTTATGGTCCTTTCTATAAAAATACATTTTGGAAATCTTGAAATTCCAATTAATTAAAAAAACTTAGGTTTGAGATATTAAATTATAATAATCTAAAGCTATAGTAATATTTTGCTTACATATAATATTGAAGTAATTGCTATCACTAGACTTGTAAAAGATAAAAATTCCTGATAAAAAACATAAAGAATATTAATTATATTCTTCAGATACTATATATGACTTGGATTGTTGTCAATCAGTACATAGAGCTAATATCCCAACTCCAAAACTGACATAATTAATTTTTCAAAGAAAGAAACAGTTGTATAAATCACAGATTGCAGCCTTGGGTAATTCTGAAAAATTAATCCTGTTTTTGATCATGATAGGACAAAAAACAAACAGAATAAAGTAAAAAATATGTCCTACTGATATCGATACCTAGATACCTATATCCTGAACTATAAGATACTAATCATGATACAGGCTTGTGGGTGTACTTATACTTTAACATATATCCTTTGACAGTGTCAAAAAAAAATTATGTTCTCCATCCCAGACTGTGGCATTACTGCTAGGAGGCAGACATTCAGGAAAAGATTACATTTCCTAGCCCACCCTATCTTTATATTGAGCATGGGATTAGTTCCTGCCAATGGAAGGGGACAGAACTGTTTCTCTTTTATGAGTCTGAGGTCTAAGAAGATGGAGTGCCTTCTACACTCTTCAATCCTCACTAATTAACT